TCATTCTTGTATCATTTTTTCCTCTAATTACTGCGACGTTTCTTTTGCGGTTCAGTATACATAGTAAGTATGCTGTTAACATTTCTCAATGGCTAGTTCCGATTCATTAGTACAGTTTGCCTCTCCTCGTCGGACTACCTAAAGTTTCAGTCATTTTATTATTATTATTAATATTTGATATTAGAAAACTTGTAAACCGATATTATTACGGCCTAGTAAACAAAACTCAGTAGACGGCAGAAATAAAAACTGGTTTGCTGCTTATACTACTTAATATTTTTTTATAGGCCTGGCATGGCCAGGTGGTTAGGGTGCTCACTCACAATCTGCGGGTCGCGGGTTCGAATCCCTGTTATACCAAACATGCTCGCCTTTTCAGCCATGGGGGCATTATAATGTTTCGGTCAATCCCACTTGTCGTTGGTAAAAGAGTAGCTCAAGAGTTGGCGGTGGGTGGTGATGACTAGTTGCCTTCCCTCTAGTCTTACACTGCTAAATTAGGGACGGCTAGCGCAGATATCTCTCGTCTAGCTTTGTGCGAAATAAAAAACAAAACAAAAAACAAACAAACATTTCTTTATATTGTGAAATTTCACTCTTCACTACTATAGTAAACTCGTTACAAAGAATAAAACTAAGTTGATTGCCAGCATTCCTAGTTTGATAACTGTGTGAAGATCGACCTCATTTCCTGTTGAATATCCGGGTAGCTAACTGGCACCAATTTATCAGTTGGTTATTTCAAAATCAAATGGATATAATCTTTTTATTCCTCTTGGTATTTATTAACTTAAGAATTTTCTCTCTTTTTTTTTTACCAGTTGTATGTTGATTCACGGTGATGCCATACAGTTCTTAATGAAAAGTGTTGGATGAGAGAATATTAAATCAAATAAAAAGTGTTTTTCTTCCTTGTTATTTAATAACATAAGGATTTTTTTCTACAGCGTGTTTGCTACAGTTGGAGTATTTGCTCTGATAGACAGAATGTTAAAGATGTTGACTCATGGTGACTGTCATACAGTTGTTTATGAAAAGTCCCACCTGTTGAATAACTGAGTAAATCAAATAAAAAGTATTTAAACTATTTCAATATTTTCCTTTTATTTTATATTGTATATGTTGTATTACACGTAGAAAGTCTTTTAAGTTATTAAAATAACCTTTTTAGTTATCAGTCTGGATGTACAAATATATCTAATAACGATATTTTTACCTCATATTATTATAAAGAGAATGTGCATATTGTATATTGGTTAAAATCTTTCATATATCTTTAGATGCAACCCCGCCAAACATCACGTGCCCGGAGGATTATGTTTATAATACGGATTTCCACAAACCAACAGCCTATCTTAGCTGGAAACTTCCAACTGCCAGTGACAATAAGCAGCTGAAAGAAGTTCAAATCATTCATCCACCACATGTACACAAACCACCCCATCACTTTCAAATTGGCAAGACAAAGGTTGTATATCAGGCAGTGGACCATGCTGAATTATCGTCAACTTGTTCATTTTCTGTTATAATTAAAGGTACGTTTAGAAGTCAGTACAAGTGCTTGTGAGTATTCGAAGAAGTTTCTATATGTATAACTACTATATGTAGCCCCAAAGATTCATACACATTTTCTGATATTTAATACAAAAACATATTTATTGATTAGTTAATAATGTTAAAACTTGAATGTATGGACGTGAGGTGTGTTTTGATTTAGTGTTGACTAAAAAGCATACAAAAACCATTTTTAAAATGAAAATTCCTTAAAGTCTTCTAAGTTTACTTCTCCATGTTATACTAGGGCCTACATCTGATCAGTATCTCACCTAATACCTACACATGAACTTCTTGCTTTTCACCTCCCTGTTACTCTCTAGTCTACATCGGATCGGTCGTGCCTTATACTTACATATGGTTCATGACATTTCCTTTCAGTTTCACAGTTACCTTTATATGTATTGGTGGAGTGTGGTTGTCTCCCATAAGCATACCATGCATTTCTGATCTGTATTGGAGAGTAAGCATTATTACCTGCTGGGCAGAATTCAGGGCCAATTTCACTAGCATATGGCAACACAGAGGGTCAGGAAATGTGTTCCTATAATGTGTGGCATTAATGGTATAATTTCCCAAGATGCATCCACAAATGCATATCCATCTATTAAAATAGTTACATCTGATTCCAGATTGTATACAATTGAGTATACTTTTGTTACCTGGCTTCAGGTCGATGAACAACTCATTTATGTAAAATATTTTCCTTAAGAAGTCATTAATTGATCGGGAATTCCCTTGGCAACATTGAATATGAGCTGTTTTGTACATTGCTGTGGATGATATATACCCCAATGGAAATGTAACATTTACACTGGTCTGTTTCTGACTGTTCTGACATAATATGTAGTAATACCTATTGTTACGTCTCCGTTCGGTAGTTAATTTCCCGTTAAATTTGTTCAGACGAAACTTTAGCGACACAAGTCCTTTCTTAAATAAAACTGGTTTATTCTTTCCGAGTACAACTTTACGATACACTTAATTTCAGCAGTCGCTCTATAACAAACGCTATAACCCACAATGAACATCTCACGTGGCCAACAATATTCTGTCTGCATACATTCAATTACTCATTCACTTACACATTGTCCGTCACGTTGTGACCATCTTATATATACCAGACTACCTCCAATCTAGTAGTCTCCCGACAATTCACGAAGGTTCGAGAAGGACGTGGCGTGATACTAGTCACGTGACCTCGCTGACGCAACACTATCAAGGTATTGTTAGTTAGATCACTTAGCTGAATTTGATTGTTTATATTACCAATCAAGTTATTGTTGGTTAGATCACTTAGCTGAATTTGATTGTTTATATTACCAATCAAGTTATTGTTGGTTAGATCACTTAGCTGAATTTGATTGTTTATATTACCAATCAAGTTATTGTTGGTTAGATCACTTAGCTAAATTTGATTGTTTATACTTCCTATCAAGTTATTGTTGATTTGGTTACTTAGCTGAATTTAATTGTTTATATTACCTATCAGATTATTGTTAGTTAGATCAGTTAGCTGAATTTGATTGTTTATATTACCCATAAAATAACTGTTGGTTAGATTACTTAGCTAAATTTGATATATCTATGTTTAATTTATTAATCTTAACATGGCCAGGTTAGGTCGCAGGTTGGAATCCCTTTCTCGTCAAACATGCTTGCCCTTTCAGCCATTGGGGCATTATAATATGATGGTCATTTCCACTATTCATTGGTAAAAGAGTAACCCAAGAATTGGTGGTGATGACTAGCTGTAGTCTTTCACTGCAAAAATAGGAATGGCTAGCACAAATAGCTCTCGAGTAGCCTTGCGTGAAATTTAAACCAACCTGTTACTAATCTTAGAATTAATGCATTGATAAGGATGAAAAGTGTTAAAAACTTAAAGTCACACTTTATGAAATAAAAAAGTACTTCAAGCCTGAATTTGTTGTGATAGATGGAACTTCTTACTACATGCATTTATGCAGATATTAGATTATTTAGAAATGTGTGGTGTGATTTTATATTATAATCCTTGTTACAACTTTATTGAATTTTTTGTTTTGAGTTAATTATCATTTTTAAATTTTCAGATAAGGAACCACCTCAAGTTAAGTCTTGTCCTTCTGATATTGAAGTTGCCCATGAAAAAAGATCAGACTTTCCTGTGTTTTGGGATGAGCCAGAATTTGAGGTACTACATTACTTTATGTCACAAAAATTTGAATTTCGTCTAAATGAATGTCTTGCATTTATTAGATTATAATAGAATATATGTGGTGTTGCTTTCTTAACTGTTATAAGTAACATCCCAGATTACTGGTTAAGAACTGAAACTATGAAGTGTTGTACCTTTCCAATTGAAAACAGAATAATTAATATTATATCACAGCAGCGAACCAGTATTATGGAATATCAGTATTTCTTTAAGGAAAAAAGGGGGCTATAAATATTTCTTGAAAACTAATACAGTGTTCCATGGCCACAAACAGAATATGGTAAAAATTTCATTGTCACTTTCTTTTGAATTCCAAGTATTCTATTCAATAGGCAAGTATAGCTGTAGACACTGGTCTTTTGTATGTTTATTCTTAAGTATAAAGCTACACAATGGGCTCTCTGTGCTGTGCCTACCACAAATATCGAAACTCTATTTTTAGTGGTTTAAGCCTTCAAGTCAGATTTACCACTGAGCCACTGCGATGATAACACTGGTCAGCTGTAGGAAATATATAGTATTATATAATGTATTGTAAATTTGCATATAATATGAAACATTCTCTGCCCATGAAGTTAATTTTTTTTTTTTAATAGGATAACTCGGGAAAACTTCAAATTCCAATTCAAAACAAAAAGTCAGGAGATTTATTTTCTTGGGGAAAAGCAGTAGAGGTGAAATATTCAGTTAGTGACTTGTCAGGAAACACTAACAAATGCACCTTTAAAGTGAAGGTGAAACGTGAGTATTTCTTCCTATGTGTTATCTTCTTCTATCTATATAAATAAAATAAGAGTTTTGTCTGTACATTGCTTACAATAGTGTACTTTTTGCATATCTTCACGTTTCATACACCAGAGAAGCCAAAACAAGCCTTA